TGCTAGGGTAGTTGTCTGATGGTGCTAGTTTAGGTCTGTGTTCTTGCTAGGTTAGTTATATTCTGTTGCTAGGATAGTTATATATCTCTGCTAGGTTAGTTTTATCAATTTACAATGATAGTTGTATGTTGTTGCTAGGTTAGTTGTCTGTTGGTGCTAGTTTAGTTGTCTGTTAGTGCTAGGTTAGTAGTCCTTTGTTGTTAGGTTAGTTGTCTGTTGGTCAGTGTTAGCCTAAACGCTAAACGGTAAACAGTCGGCGAGAGCACGTGTAGTGTTTAGACGGTGTACACGGCGTGTACACGGGATTAAACGGATTACACGTTTTTAACTACATTAGTATTAATATTATGACTTATGAGTCAATGACATAGCCATAGCCCATACGCAAATTGCAGATAACATCACAACAGTCAACATCACAGGTGTTCATCTTACAACACAACAGTTAGTAACACACTGCACGCATATATAGTTCTCACAAAACGGATCAATTTTTTGTTCTCCCGCCCAACCGCTTCTATTTCCAAAACGGACCGTGTAAACGGCCTAAACGGCCGTTTAGGCCGTTTAATACCGTTTAATACCGTCCCGTTTACACATTTTACACGGTTTTTTTCCGTCTACAAGGCTAGCCCGTTTAATTACTGTTTATCCGCTAAACTGCACACCATAGCGCCGTTTACCGTTTAAACAGCGTGTAAACGGTCTAAACGGCCGTTTAGGCGAACACTGCTGTTGGTGCTAGGTTAGTAATCATTTGTTGCTAGGTTAGTTGTCTGTTGGTGCTAGGTTAGTTGTCTGATTGTGCTAGGTTAGTTTTCTGATGGTGCTAGGTTAGTTGTATGATTGTGCTAGGTTAGTTGTCTGATTATGCTATGTTAGTGGTTGCTAGGTTGGTTGTCTGATGGTGCTAGGTTAGTTGTCTGGTTATGCTAGTTTAGTTGGCTGATGGTGCTAGGTTAGTTGTTTGTAGTTGCAACTAGATGATAAAAATTTGTAGGGTCACATAGCAAAACTTTGAAAGGCCATAACTTTGCGTAGAAAGCTCCGTTTTAGACGATTTTTTTTATTTGGGGTAGCTCGACGAGATCTACGCAGCTGCAAACAGCCGAAGGCGGTTTGGCCGCCCAAATTTAAAAACAAAACGCCTTTCCCTTGCTTTAATTTCATTTTTAAGAAAAAAATACGTTTTTTGTATTTTTAAACCTCTATATCTCCCCAATCGAGACTCGTTTTTCGAAGTTTTTTTTTTCATAACAATGCTCTCAACTTCTATTTTATGTACCAATTGGAAAAAATTAAAAAATGCATAGTCTTTGCAGTTGCTAGGTTAGTTGTCTGATGCTGCTAGGTTAGTTGTCTGATTGTGCTAGGTTAGTTGTCTGATTGTGCTAGGTTAGTGTCCGCATTTTAAGAGCTGGCCTCATTTTAAAAGCTGGCCTCATTTGATCCGCCCCTATATATATATATATATATATATATATATATATGTGTGTGTGTGTGTGTGTGTGTATATATATATATATATGATATTAGATAACATAAATGTGGGATTAAATGAAATAAACATACCTAATTTAGTCAAAATGTGGTTTAGGCGGGAAAAAGTAGGCTATCTTATTTATTGGATAGCCTATAATTATATATATACATAACGGTTCGACCTATCTAAGTGAACTGACAGGACGGTCAGGTAGTAATGATTTCAGAGGTCGTGGAAACACCAGGTCATTCGATGGTGACATCACAGGCAAAGCAGCACAACAATCGGTCAAGCTAGGGCTCTCGGCTAGTTTGATGGAAACTCGACCGGAGACTTATAAGTCGATATACGACTTAAGATATAAACTTACTTCTTGAAGGTCATAGCGACCTAGTTCAAGAGAAACCCAGCTAATAACACAATTAGGCTATCTAATGAGGTAGACTAATGTTTACACACTACATAATAGAAAAGAAAGAATATAATTAATATAAAAAAGACACGTTGAAAGAATAATGTGAGCTAACACAATTGGGCAATTTCGGCACCCGGGCAGAACGATCGGGCAACTTGGGTACTCGCACATTTAGGAGTCTATTTTTAGATTGTTTCGTGCTAGTGGTTCTTGTTAGTGCAGTTGCTTCAGGAGTCTATTTTCGATTGTTATAGCTTCAGTGTGTGGCGATTCTCGACTTTATGTTGCAGTTGTTTATTTTTCTTTTCCTAGGTCACTTTCTTTAGCGTTCCTCCTATTCTACCTTCTGCTAGCTCTCTACATTGTGTCCTTTGGAATTATAAATTCTACCATTTAAAAAAAGAAAAACTAATTGTATTTCCCAAAGGAAAAAGGAAAGGCGAAAGACACCAACAAAATAAAAGATCATGTATGTTAGGCAAAAGATAAACAGTAGGACGACAAACATAACATAAACTAACGTACACTTCCTTTCATAAGTACATTTCATTTCAGTCCACTGGAAGTGTGCAAACAACTGAAGTTCTCACGGTAACTTGTAATAATCCACACCAAAGTTGCCGTCAAGTGGCGTATTCACAAACCTCATTATATAATCACTCAACATCACCTCCCTGTACTTGGCCGGATCTTCTTCGGACAACATCTCTTCGATTGGACCATAAACCTTAACCTCACCTACCGGCCCGGACAAGAAGAACGCCACAGATATTCTCGGCCCAATGCTCCTCGCCACCACTCTGTGTTTAACGCTTTTGAATCTCCCATTCGACACCAACTGTACCAAAAAGCTGTGTGTGTAATAGGTTTTTACATACATTTAAAACAAAATATTGCTATGGAACAATGTTCAAGAAAATACCTGGAGCAAATCCCCAATATTGACAACCAAAACCCCTGGATTCGGTTCAATATTAACCCACTGGCCCTGGTGCAAAACCTGGAGACCACTGATTTGGCTCTGCAGAAGAATTGTAAGAAATCCCGGATCCGAATGCTTAGAGGTCCCGAGAGTGAGCTCCGGCTCGGGACAAGCCGGATAATAGTGACAGCTGAACCGGAACCCCTTTGAGCATTCCATGTTAAGAAGGTGGTCTGGCTTTAGTCCAAGTGCCTCCGAGAGCAACTCCAGCAGTGTATTTCCCAACATTTGTACATACTTCGAGTATTCTACCGTGCTTTCCCTATGTCGATAACATCAGTACAGTACGGTCGTAAACGGTGTTCAGAAGTGTTAACTATTTAATCACTAAGCTACTCATCAAACTCATATTTAATATCAAAAAAAATATATAAGTATTGAGATTGTTAATTTGGCTAGGACAGTTAACAAAGCAAAAATTACCGGCAAGATTCAGGCAATTCATCGGTGTTGATTTGGTCGGGAAATATGAAGTTCAAGGTGTCTCTCCAGTTGGCGGTCCTCGAACTGTAGAGGTCAAAGTTGCTGCCGTACCTCACGCGGCCCGCGAAATCCCGAGAGTAGTACTTCTTTCTCTCGTCCGCGTCCAGCTCGTTGAACGCGCGGACCCCATCGATCATTCGGTCGAGCACGTCCCATGGAATCCCGTGGTTGGCCACCTGGAAGAATCCCCAAGTGCCCGAGGCCGCTGTCACCTGCTCCACAACCGCCTTTCGGCTTTCGGGACCTGCTTCTATGCGGCTAAGATCGATCACCGGCACCCTGAATTCTGACGTGTTTATGTGCGCCACCTCACAAGCAATCTCCTCGGGCGGCCTCACGAAAATCTCCGGGACTTTTCGTATGCCGGAGTCCATCAGGCCTTTGACGCCGGCTTTTGTTTCGTCAAAGGCCTTTAGCATCCTCATCCGCTCTTCCCCTAGCTCGTGGACGTTTTCTGCCATTGATTGGTGTTTTATTTTATTTTTTTTTTTTCTTTGTATATATGTAAGTTTTACGGCTGATGATCGATATGGTGGAGTTGGCCTTAGAAGTGAGTGAAAGGGCTGTGAAAATTTGGAGATATGGGTTGTTCAATAAATACACTATAGTAAAGGCATTGTCATTTGGTCATCAGGCACGTGGCAGATTCAGCACCCCTCATGCATATCAGAGTCATTATTCGGTCGGTTCGCTATCGGATCTCTCACATCTTCTGCGAGGGGAACCGGTCTGCTGACTTCCTTGTTGGCATCGGGTCCTCCACCCCCAGAGACACATTCCCTACACTGACGAGATCTCTCTCCGCCTCTGCACACTTATACGGATGGACTAGATGAGATACCCCTCATTCAGATTTGCATAGCTGCTCCTACATCTTGGCGCATCTGCCACACAGTGATACAGACTTTTTCGCCAGGACTCTCCACGGACCAGGACCTATTATTTTTGCTTCTCGCTGCAGTTGTCAGCTTTTCATTGTATTATTCTTTTTTGCTTTTACTTTTAATTTTTTATTTGAATTGATATATATCAGACATTGTACTTGTATCCTTGTGACTATTCAGCCCATTTAGGGCATTTTTTATATACAGGTTGGGGGTTCAGCCTTAACCCCCACCCTCCCGGGATGTAGTTTGAAAAAAAAAAGGCATGCCTTCAAGTCACGAGGTCATGTTCATGACGATTTTCCTCTTTGTCTCTGTGCCCTTATACGGATGGACCAGATGCGATACTTGTCATTCAGATTTTTTAGTCGATCTTACCTGTCCGTGCATCCGCTTTCTCGGGACGCTGATTTTTGTATGGACTCTCTCCGAATCAGAAAACGTTATCTTTGTGTTACTAGCAGCGGTTGCTAGCATTTTCTTGCTTTTTTTTTT